ATTTAGGTTGGTCAGGAATGCTTGTTAAATGAAAGTGTTTCAGACTTTTAACTTTGTCGTTTGTACATGAAAGTTCAACTGGCACTAGAAACTCAAAGGAGGGTCTAAGTTAATACAAAATAGAATACAGAAAAGCGATTCGTAGGAGAGAAATTGATTTTCGTTTATAACCTTTTACAACTTTGCCCGTTCTTCTGTTTCTAGTGTTTAACTTCCTCCTACATCGACGTTTGACGAAAGTCCACATGTCATACTTCGGCCAACGAAACGTCAGTTAGTTTACATATTTCCTAACGCAACTTCGTTCCTCGCCAAGCGCGAGCCGTTCGATACGTGCTCGAATGCTAAATTCATCGTGACAGCCACGCAATCCACTGGATTTATGAAGTTCCAAATCTCTCGGCTCTCGAAGCCAAGCATCATCCGCAAACTCCTCGCTATTAATCGTTTGCTTAAATAATTCAGAAACAACAGGAGTCGAACGAGATGATGACGACATCATCTTGGTAATTCTTGCGTCAGACCCGTGTTTAACGCTGGAATTAGCTCTACTCCGACAGAAATGACCGATTCGAAATTTTACACAGTTCTTTCGCTGAGAATCTGATTTATAAAATCTCACACTGCTTTGATCTCTATCAGACAAAAGTTTCACACAAAATAACAATTTTCGAGAGAAATCGTAACTGGAAAGTTGTTTTTACTCGATGACAACGTCTGTCGGTAGTTCTGGCAGTAGTAAGCAAAATATTTTCTTCCGAAGGAAGAAAAAGCAAAGTGCATCGACAAAGAAAAATTTAACAATTCGATAATCAAAACGTTCGCGGTCGCTTCCGGGCTTTTACCGTTTCGCGGTGGGCCCGCGTTATTTTTGGATACGGACAGATAAAACTCTTCTTGAACGCATTATCCCGAGAGACGTTGAAAGTAAAAAAGACAGGGGTGCCGTTAAAAGCACCCCTCCGTCCCCTCCCCTTCGGTAGAAGGGAGGAGAGATCCGAAAGGTCGTCGCTTTGATGGCCTGGGGAACGAGTTATATCTTTGGAGGCGAAAGAGAACGGGCATGGGATTCTTGGAAGTTCATTGCATCCTACTTTGGTACTCCTAATTGACGATCGATTTTTTGTTTCGATTTCTTCCTCCTTGATGTTCCCTCGATTTTCGATTCCCTCTGCCTTGCTTCAGAAAAATGTTACTTCACTTAATTTGACGCAAAAAAAAAAAAAAAAAACAACATGTATTTCGCATGACGTAGAATTCGAAAAGATAATTTAATGTCTAAAGTTCGACAAGGAAGTGGAGGGACTTTGTTTCGCGCTTCGAAATCAATTATATAAATTAGAATCAACGGTAAGCGCATTAGCGAGGAAGTTTCACAAGTTCATTTGCTTTTAACACGACTCAATTGGACAAATTGTGTATTAACCGTTTTCATTCGTTCCTTTAATTGCCACTGCCTAATTGGATCTGATTAATTCAATTTCCACTGATGTTAAAAAAAATCATCTCATCTTTTCCACGATTCTTCCAATACCCTCTTTATCGTGCGTATCGTCACATTCGTTCGAGTATTTCTCAATCATTCCCCGACGGTTACCTGATGATTTGCTTTCAAAATTTGAAGAAGTTCGATCGATACTTTAGCATCGCTTGCCCTTTTTCGTTTCTTCTATTTACTATCTTCTAAAATTTAGATTTTAGATTTTCTCGTAAAAAAATTCTTAAAACTCTGCGTCTATCCACATTTATACGCAAATTTCTAAAATATTCCTCGAGGATGAATTCTAAAATAGCGTAAAACATAGCGTGAAATTTGGTGACATTGTGCCACGGCGTGGGAAGTAGTAACTGAAAAGACAGAACAGCAAGGAAAATGGAAATCATCACCGTTCACGGTGAAAGAAACTGCCAACCTCGAATGAGAAGTCTGCAACGTTCACGGGATTTTAAAAAATTTATACATCCGATTTTTATTTACGAAACACTCATGAGGAAACGCTTGTTGTTTTATAGAGTTCCAAGCTGGCTTCAGAACGATGTAAAGTTCGAAACTGTCGCGAAACGGTGGTTCTCAACGCACGAAAGGTGACTGTCGCGAATGTCGAAGCAAACGTTCGCTTTCGCCCGTAGTAATTGAAGAAACTGAAAGTCGAGTCGACGATGTTTGAAAAAAAAAAAAAAAGAAAGAAAAACGAAAGAAAAGGAGAAAATGCCAGACACGGTTGGAGACGAGGATTCGTCGACGGGTTACCGAGCTATGATAAGCAAAAGAAGTAGCGTTGGATGATTAAAGGGAACGTATGCCTCTTCGTGGAAGAAGGCACTTTGTGGCCGGATTTTTCTCTGGCTTAATGACAACGCTTCTTGAGGAGAACTCTTTCCAGACTCTCTGCTACTTTTCATGAAAGAATGAAACAGAAATGCAGAAAAATTGGAAGGCGAGTTAAGCCAGAGATTGTTAATTATCGTGGGACGAGGTAAGATTTGGCACGTATTTCTATCGAACATCTCGTTGGAACTTTGTCAAAACAATTCAACGATTTTTATTCTGCTCTTAAATCGTAATGACTGAAGCAGCTAAATCACCGTTGGCTTACAACTGAATTTACAACTTATTGTAATTTTTAATTATCTTTAACAAAAAGTTAATCCCTTGGACTTGTAATATCGAGTGGTCACAAGTTATGGTCTCGATTTAAAAGAAAAAGTAAATCGTAAACCTATGAAATTTCAATTCAGATTTTAAATTTAATTTCATTAAACTGAACATTGACAAATAAAAATTACGCACAACGTTTTAACACTTTAAATGCCCTAAATTAATTTTACAGCAAGTAATGCTTACCCCTTAAAATTGAATCATGCAATGCGTTAACTATAAGAATTTAAAGTAAATAAAATCAAAATGGAAATAAAACACGGATTGCTTTCCACAAGTTGACACGAGTTTCCCAAGAGAACCAAAGAAATAATTTTTAAAATTATAATAATTTCCCGATGGAGGTACAAAATCAAACGACGTTGCCTCGCCGTTGAGCCGTTTGAAGTAACGTTGTCGAGAAGTCGATGGCCCGTGGAGTCGTGTCATTTCCAAGAAGACATCCAGGACTAGGAAAGTGGGCCCGAAGGATCCACCGACGCACATCATAAGGGGGATCTTCAAGGATGTTAGCGCACGTGAGTGCACGTAAAGTGGCCTTTAACAACGACCCTCGAAAGCCTAATATCAGTGTGCTCGTTATCCGTAAATATAATACGAACAACTACATGCTCTTGGTTCTTCAACGCCCACGACGAATTTCAAAGATACAGCTCCTGTTTATATCATCTAGCAACTTGTACGAATTAATATACATTTTGACAAATTCGAAATATATCTCGATCCTTTATATACTTTAGGGTGACACTGTCGTTAAAGTGTTGTTGAAAATTTTGATAAGCGTCAAAAGTAAAGAGAGAACGAAGATGATATAATGCGTGAAAGTGGTATATGCAATTCGAGATAGCAAGTGTGCTCGTGATTCAGACGTTTGACGATGAAACATCGATATTGATTACGTAGTAACACGTTCCTAACCTCTGAATGCGTTCTGTTCATGTCAATTAACGTCTCAAGTTCTATATCGTTGCTCTATATGCATGTAGCTCGCACATTGTTGGACTATTGTATGCTGTACGTTATTGACAAGTAATAGATCATGTAATACGACGTCTTGACAGATATCTGTGAACGACAGATTACGTGGTATTACCTTAGGCACATCGTATATCAATTAATTGCCTCAGCTTTCGTCAAAATACCTTCCAACGATCGTTTAATTAGATCTCTGCGAGCTACGAGCTTAACTTAAACTTGATGCATCGATAAATAATCACTCAACACGTTGAACTTTGTCAGCTTATATCAGTTCCTTTTTATTAAGTTCAGGAAAACTTGTTACGGTCCTTTGTAACGTGAGTTTTCAATATTAAAAAAAGTAATAAGACTTTTTCAACGATGGATGTTGTTATTCGAATCATGGTATTTAACAGACGATTGAAGACATAAAATTTTCAACAGAGATGTTAAAGTGAAAAAATACACTGTTTCACATCTACAAACAGAAATTATAAATCTACCATTTTGAACGTTCCGGTAATCTGAGTATCAAAATATTAAAACTTTTTAGGCAACTAGAAGACAATGTGAAAAACTTTCATTACAATCTACATCCATAATTATCATCGGTTTCATTTCACGCGTTACGTTCGGAAACCCAGGAGCCCGGCCTCGTCCACTTCAACGATCTTCAAACTCCGAACTTTGGCCACCGGCGACGAGACTCGACCATACGGATCCAATTCATCATCGGGAGCGGCGCCGCGTTCCAGCAAAAACGAATCAATTGAAAGCATCGGGGCAAAATCAACCACCTCGCCACCGGCTAGAACACCAACTGAACGAACGAAAGTAGCGGCGATTGAATCTTGGCGAGATTTCATAATGGACTCGGCGAAAACTCGCTCGAGCGTCGTCGTTCAACCGTGAATTCGCGACATTACAGCGTTCGCGTCCTCCCCCGCGTTTCAAACAATCCGCCTCTACGGGTCCGCGTTAGTAGCACGCTTCGTTCAGAGTGGCGCTCGACGTTTTTCAGTGTTATCAAGGCCCCGCGAATGCCCGTACAAGTAAAACGTAAGAGTCTTATCTTGCGCGAGTAACGTCAACAGCACTTTAAGGGCATCCACTCTTTTCTCTCTTACGTAATCTACGCGAGTCTCCCAGCCTCTGTCCTTCTTACGAGGGTGGCGGCTCTGCTCTCCTCTCTTCTCCCCTCTTTTTTTTTCATTCTCCCTGCTCCTGACTCGAGTGCACTCTCCACCGCGAGGTTATCTTTCACCCCACGTAAGGATTTACACGTGTTGCACGCGCTACACCTGAACCGTAGGTCGAGAAACCTGTGTACAACATGTTTGTATACCTTCCTTCTTTTTTCTTTTTTTTTTTTTAATCTCCGCTTGTAGGAACTATGCGGAAGATTTCGTTGGTTTTCAGGTTGATGGATAGAGAGATAAAAGTTGGAGATAGGACGATAAGGGAAGTAAGGTGGTTCGAAGTTTCAGAGAGTAGCGAGTGTAAAGAAACGACTGTAGACAGAGTTTAAAGCATACAGTGGAATTTATCTGTTGAATCGCGTGGTTTATAAACCGGAGGGATTGTTCGAAAGAAATTTTTTCATTAACCCTGCTGCGTTCTTTTCATCATTTCTTTCTCTGAAACTGAATTTTTTTTTTTTCTCTAAAATTAAAATATATCTCAAGTTTATACGAAATACTGTAAAAATTCGCGCTGGTACACATGATTCTTCGATCAAGTGTTCAAACATCTTCTGAAAATTTTATCCTTTTATATTATCGGCTGAACTGACAATAAGTGTAAAATTGAAATATAAAAATTCGAGGATCGCAGCAGAGTTAATTCAGCAAAATCAGTAATTTAAAAGAAAATTTATCCATTCGATATACGTGATCGAAAAATTTCCTATTCCATCTTCCCGCGTAAATCACACAAACTATCACTCTCAATAGAGACATTTCATCAATCCCAACGTGATTCGAGTGCGCGAAAGATACGCAAGTCCATTACGAGCAAATAAAATACATTCAAACGTTAAATATTATTATACGTGTATAAATAAAAAAATTAACCCCCTTGTTTCCCAGCGCGTGCATGTTAATAAGAAAACACCGGTGTCCATTTTCTCAAGTGAACGATTCACCTCGCAGTTTTTTCAAGGCTTAAAACGCTTCCGGGGGATCAGTTCCTTCTCCAGTTTCTCAAGGAACGCCGTGCTTCCGGGAATGTCGCGCGGATTCCTCTTCACCAGATGGACCCAACAATTCCTCATCGTATAAGAGAGAAAAGAAAATATAAGACTATCGTATCGAGACGATCCTGTTACGTCAGAACACGGGTATACACGTATTTTCCAATTTCTTGTCCCCACGTTGTCGTAATACCTTGTTCGTCCTTATTTTTACAAATGAAATTCTGCAACCGTTGGAGTCCATTCAGACACAAGAGAGAGATTAAGCTCCGTAAGGTTTTCTCAAAGGGATTATGCCCAGCGAGTTGCTGAAATATAATAATTTCAGCTGCAACAGATAATTCTCGCTTTCTTGTTAGAATATGGTAATTGTTTTGCTACTGTATTTCACGCGGCTAGAAATATGGTTTTAGGTGGCGTTACGAGGCGAATAGGAGTTTCAGGTGGATTAGAGACATCTCCGTTAAAGTGCCATGAATTACATGGTTTTCCTTCGTATTTTTGCACAGGTACAATAAAGGGAAACTAGATTTCGTCGTATGCAGTAAGTAGATCATGCGTGTTTATGCATTTACGAGAAATTTTAATTGGAAAAGAGTTTATGCAGAATTATACGAGAAAAATATACAGAGGGAAAGATCTCGCATGAATATTTAATATGTAATTACTGTTTCTCTAGCTATGCTCGTAAGAAATATACATTTGTCATAATTTTCAAGAAATTACTGTGCTCCTTAATTTTAACGCTGTCTAACTACTGTTAAAACAGTAGAAAAATTTCGATACTGCAAAAAATCCTAAAAATGTAAACGTGGTCGAGTATCACGGTGAATTGCGAACGTATTAAGCAGTAAAATTCCGTTTCATACCGGATGAATCTTGAATATTCATGCTCACTGTGGTAACTGACAGAAAGCTTGAAGAAAATTGCTGACGTAAAAATATTTTGACGCCAGAAGAAAGTCGCAGCGACTGACATGCGAATATCGCGCTGTATACGTTGATGGTACCGTGTCAAAGAGTTAAATTGTGTCGTTGTCATCTTCGAGCAACGAATTTATAAACACAGTCGCGAATCGATCGATGGTAAATCAATAAATCAAAACGCAAAGCAAAAAGACATCGAAGTTAACGGTAAAATTCGCAGTAAAAACAACATCCAAGTTTTCACCGAAGCGTCGGTTTCGCACCTTAAAAATGAAAAAAGAGAAAAAAATCAACCAACATCGAAAAAGCAGAAACTTCATGCCTCAACCGATGATTTCCCGACCGGGTCAACTCGTCAATTCGAACGAGTAAAATTTTCATTTGCGTGGCCACGTTCCTCCCTCTTCCCGACATTTTCCTTTTTGCCTCTGTGTTTCATTATTATTTCCTTCTTCCTTTCTTTCTTTCTTTTTTCTGCCGGACTGTTCCTGTTTCGAGCGAAACGGACGCAACTCGTTTACGGGCGTCATACGAGTCGCTAGTTCCCATTGCAATTGAAGGGCGGTCAAAGCCACGCGCGCGCGCCTCTATTACACCATCGCGGCGGAAATTCAATTCGAGATCGTTCTTGACCACCGTCGCTCGCCCTTCGCGGAATTACGTAAAACTCGATGTACGCAATTCCGCGTGGCTGCGGGTGCACCCCGTAACGTCGCGCGAATTTATGCAAGAATCTTGGCGAAAAAGGAAGGAAGAGAGACCACAGAGAGAGAGAGAGAGAGAGAGAGAGAGAGAGAGAGAGAGAGAGAAGATCGACCTCGACAGTGATCACTTCGAAATCGCGAGATTTCACGTGCAAGGATTTCTCTGCTGAATACTATGAGTACAGCGCGAAAAATATTTGACCGTCTAGATTCTCTCGTTGGGAATTTTATTCCGCGATCATCGTCGACCGGGGAAATTGTGAAATTTCGCTATGACACAATTAGAAGATAGTTACGATACGACAGTAGATTGTCGCTGAGAATGAAGACCCTCGGGAAACCCTTAATTTCTAATAATGTGTAATATACCAGCTCAAGAAAGCATACGAGGAACTTCTATATTCGCGTATTATATGTGTGTTACACGAAATCTTTTGAATTTTAATTAATTCTGTAACTACTTCTGTAACTTAATTAACTCTGTAAGGCTGGTGAAATTTGTAGCCAATCTGAGAACGTAAAGTTAAAGGTTACGCGACATTTATTGGAAATACACGTTGAGTAACCGCAAATAGTCATCCTAATGGTTTGTGCGTTTACAGAATCCTGATGACATTCTAATTAATTTGCGTTAATTGATGTTTAATTGATTTGCGTGATAAAATGCCGCAGTGGATTTAAAGTAGAGAGAATCGTTGTTGTAATTTCAAAGGCGGTATACAGATGATTTACCATTTTTTCGCTGAAATATGCACGTTCAAAAGTAACCAGAATTTATATGGATCGATTCTTGACATCGAACGAGATTGGACAGAGATTTCAGCGTGGAAAAGATAAACGAAAGATAAGACGATTGATGGATTCTTGCACGTATAATACTTATGAAATATATGGAAAATTTTTTTCAATGGCTGCTGAAATATTCGACTTGAAAAAATTTCAAGCAAATCCAGTTCGAATAAATATTCCGTGAAAAATCAATTTATCGTTCCCGTGCAGCAGCTGGCGTTGAGTATCCAAACGCAAGCAGAGATAATTAAGACTACTAAATTAGTTAAACATTTTGCCTTTATCTTTACTAAATAAGTACAAGTGTCCCGAGTAATATTAATGTTAAAAACTACGTATCGAAAATCTAATATTAATTTCTTTAATTAATTTAGAAAAATTAATTTATTCGAATATCAATTTCAGCTCTTCGTTTTTTACGTCAAAATGCAACGATAAAAATCTTTCGAAGAAACACAAGGATTGCCGCGAGAGCTCGTGAAACCTGCTAAGAATGGATTTATGGATGGCCACCCCGTAGAGTGTCTCGCGATGAAACGTTTGACAATAATCGTCACGCAGCATCTTTTGGCGATAATATCTACCGGCCTTCACCATTCTTACCTGTTCCTCTGGGCACAGCTGATTAAAGTCGACGATATCTACCATAACTGTTAATTTTCCACGAGAATCTCTGCCATTCGCCTCTCGTCAAGAAATAAATAGCGAAATTTTGCCTGACGTCTTCATGCATCCGTGACAAGATATTCCAACATGGCGTAGAGATCGAGAAAAAATTTCGTAATAAATTCGAGAATTGTTTCTGGCGCGACGTTTCTGTATTTTTTAATTTTTAATTCTCAGAGAAGTAGAACGTTAATTTCAAACTCTTGCATTTACATTTTGCGAAAGATTTAAATGTCAATCTCGACATTTTTATATTTTACATTCATTTATATACATTTTTATATTTATACCAACGGTATCAGTAATAATCAATGATATAATGTATTCTTAATAATATAATGTATCCTGCACTCGACTATCCTTTCCATCATGCTTAAATTTAGTAACTAAATGCTTAAATTTTTAACTAAATACCTAAAAGCTAAATACTAAAATACTAAATACTACAAAACTAGAAAATTTAAAAAAATACTAAAAAACTAAACTAAAAAAATACTAAAAAACTAAAACGATAAACCTAAATTAAATTTCCCTCTTCCAGGAAAGCTCAAATTTCTCAGATTTCTTGATTACCTGTCCACGATCGAATACTTGAAAGTTTCCAGAGCAAAACTTTGTCTCCGCAAAACGCGTGAAACCGTTTAATTCCTCGTTCGACGCAACGCAAAACAGCTATCTCTCGAGATGGCCAACTCGATCGAATTCCATAACAACGATCGTAATTCCCCACGAAACCGAAACGAAGTTGCCGGAAGTTGGGCAGGCAGGGGAGGAGACACGATTCTCGAATCGAGCCGAACACGTGGCAATCAATGTTAATTACGTTCACGTGTCAGCGCGATGCGACCTCGCGTTGCCAGGGTAATATATCGGATTTCGTGGCGACAATGTAAGTACAGAGCCGCGTTTCTGCGTTAAGGTTCGCGCTAAGCTCGCGAGGCGAGAGTCGACGACGCGCACGCAAACGATACGAAGAGGAAAGCGAGCGCGAGTCGAAGAAGAGAAAAGGGACCAACGACGAGCATCTCGAGCGTTCCAGAGGATTATCTTCCTCGACGTGGATACTCTCTCGCGTCACGGTTTCCGCTGCTGATCTTCGGCTGATTGCGGGACCTCGGAAAAATTAGCCGGATCGCTTGAAACGGTGGCTCTCATCCTCTTAAGGAGGATTTGTTCCGCTTATTTCATCCTTAAACCGGGCCTGCTCTTAACGATATATACGGCTATTTATGAATCCGATCAGACGAACCTGATCTTCTTTCGTTTCCCTGTTCTTTCTCAGGGATTTTCTTTTTTTGTTTTTTCAATATTTCTACGGCCTTGGAATTTTCACAATATTTTAATTTCGGTCTTGGTGCTTTGGCTTTGATTCTTTGAAATTAAATTCCGTCAAGTTCCGTTAAATTTAAGAGATCGTAGAGAAACACGATAATATTCCTCCTACGAATTTAACTGAATATATGAATTAAATTTTCATGTTATATTCGCTGTTGGTTAACTTTATACAAAACAAAGCTACCTTGGAGTTATCCACGCGTAAGAATAATAAACGTACGTACAACATCATACTCGTGCAGATAATAATTATTTAAATTAATTTCTGGATAAATAAACGCCTTATTAAAAAAAAAAAAAAAAAAGAAACGCACGAATACCCGAAACTCGAGGAATAAGACTCGAGCGCACGATGCGTTAACAAATAACGTACACGATATTCAAAATTATCCGAAATTCCAGCTCGCGGAATGCTGCTCGTTAAAGCGCGGATTCAACAACGACCGAATAAATCTCATAATTAGAATTTCATTACGTAATCTAGTTGTTTCAGGAATTCGTTTCCACGCTCGTGATTCATTATCCCTCTGACCCTGGCCACCGCCCTGGGAAATTAACCGGATTGTTTCGAACGACACCGTGTATATCGTCTTAAAGGATTTCTGTTTCGTTTCTTTTTTCCCCCGTCTCGATTCACCGCCGAGATTTAAGACACTTACGGTGCGCGCGAGGATCATTACGTTGCACATTCGCGCCGAGGGTCGACCCGAGCATTTCCTGATTACAGCTCCGTCGAAGTTATCGCGCGATCGAAATTATTGCGGCTGACTCGGAGGACAAAGTGTGTATCGGATGCGACGTGACCGCGATGATCCAACGACGAGCAATTAAAGATTTCACGGATCGATTGTGCTTCGACGCGCGAGATAATTCGAGTCGAGTCATGCTTTGCGTTGCCGTTTGTTCAATTTTCCTGTACATTTTCTCCTAACAGCTTCCGATACTTTATGTTTCGCGGAGGATAATTATTCAGATTTGTTTCTTCACAGACGAGACAACTGAACGAATTTTTCTGTATTTCTTCTTTCTTGGTTGTTTGCTTCTTTCATTTATCTTATTTTCTTCTTCTAATGGCAACGAGGATAATATTTTACAAGCGAGTTAATTAGCTGAATTTTTCTGTTTGGTCTTCTCTCTTGTTTCCTTCCTTTTCCAATAAAAGGGGGCAAATTACTCTTAAACATAGTGTTTAAGATAATTCCAAGACCTTTGAATCTTTTCCCTTGATAATGAAAAACACTTTTAAGTGATTGATAATTCGATGTTTCCCTAGCTCAACCATAAAACTGGGTCACGACTGACGAGCTACCTGCTCTCTAATTCAACACGGAAACCCATCTCCCTCCTCATGCTCTTACGACATACAAGTGTATTCACAATAAATTGCTAGATGTACTATTTTAATCGTTGTGCGTGATTTCCTAATTTTTTAATTAAGAAACGATTTTCCTAATTACAATTCTCGTTGGAAGGAACGACGCTACATATGAATAACATAAATTAATTTATCACCTGTTAGATTCCCATAATTTTATTTACTTGAACGATACAATAAAATCTCTTAATCGTTCGAATAGAAATTAACAGATATGTTACAGATTTACAAAGGTGTCTATTTTGAATGAATTAATAACTAATTAATAAAAAGAAGAAGAATGAACTCATTGTTAGAGCAAAGAGAGTTAAGCAGAACAGTTTTTTTATATCTATTTATTCGTATATTATTTGATTGTTACTGATAAATATTGATCGTGAAGCGTATCTTAAATCCCCAATGAATCTCATAATTTAATTCATTTAAATGAATTATTAATTTAATCGTTTTACAGTTAAAAAGAAAAGTCAGCGTTGATTAATACGATGATTTAATTTATTATATATAATATAATTTCGACAAAATCCGTTTAATAATCATTTACTTGTCACTGAATACATTTAAATATTGAGCTTACTGTTAATAGAGCAAAGCGAAAATTAATTAAAATCGCTTCTTCGAAGGAAATAAAGTACTCCTTGGGATAAATAATTGCTCGTCCGAGCAGAATCTTACAACAGACCATTAATTATCATTTTTCTTTTTTCCTCTAGCAAAAGTGAGCAGCGATTAATTAAAATTAAAAGAAAATAAAAAGCTTTTTCAAAGCGAATGCCCGATCAAAGTCTTAGAATGATTTATAATTTCTAAGATTACTTTCCCGGACAAGAGTTTAAACCAGAATCTCTCCAAGCACAACAAGATGCTCCTCGCAACAAATGATACACGTCACATTATTGAAGAAGTATCTTATATAAAATAATTTATCAATTCTCGAAATCAACGAAACAAAAGTTTCATTTCAAGCAGGAAGAAATATTCCCACCGAATAAAGAAATTCTCAAACTGTAAAGAAAAATTCTCAAGTAGTCCGTCGCAATCTCAAACGAACGAAACGAGGCCTCAAACCAAACGATTTCCCCCTCGAACAAATAATTGCACGTTGAACCGAAAAATAATTTCCTCGCAAATGAGATAAAAACTTCCCTCCTCCGAGAAGAGCAAAATATTTGTTGAAACGACTAATTGAACAGTTTTCAACAGGAATACTCAGAGAAAAGGAAAGAGTAACACTCGAAAAACGTCACGATGAAATATTTCATTTCGCGTCAAACTAGCGAAACAATTTCAACTTTGTCATCCGTCTTTATCGTACCGTTTCTCGGCAGCACTCACAAAGCGACGCGAACTGTATTCAGGCAAACAACTCGATTCCGTTACAAACATTTCCTGCAAGAGAATCTGTCAAAGAATCTTTGAACTTTTCTTTTCTCTCTCTCTCTCTCTCTCTCTCTCTCTCTCTCTCTCTCTCTCTCTTTCTCTTTCATTCCTCTTGTCGTATCTGTGACGATCACAGCGAGCAACCCTTTGTGCTCGCGTTTATCGCGAATGAGAGAGAGAGAGAGAGAGAGAGAGAGAGAGAGAGAGAGCTCGATCGAGTGACGCGGTCGAACGAAATTTATAAGGAACACGGTTTATGGCGTCGGTGTATGGCAATTTGCTGTAATCGCGCCAATGCAACTCTTACGGCCGACAACAAACGGTAAACATCGCGTTCACTTTGCTGAGAGCTCGAACAAAGGGAAGATTAGAAGTAAAACGGAGAAAGCACGATCCGACGATGGCAATTAGCCATTCGCGGAGAGGATTTCCGCGAATTTCCGGGAAAATTTTCACCGCGTGGCATATATATATTCGTCGAATGGAAAATTCGATGCCACGCGTTTATCGGAAAATTGACTTTCGATTTATCGGAGAATTTATTGACTGAATTAATTCGTTTAATTTATTCCCCAGTTTATTTGATACCGCTCCGTCTTTTTTGTTTCTCTTCGATTTCACCGCCTCTCCTGCCGATACATTCCTCTCCGATTTCCGGGGACTTGAATTTAATTTTTATACTTTGATAATATTTAGCGAAATGGAATTCGATGACGATGAGGTTAGAAAAGTTTTGTGATTTAAGGGGAGAACGGGAAGATTAGATCACTTATAAGAAAGTATATTAACTTCGAAAACTTACTTAGATAGAATTCTTACTATAGAACAGGCACTTTGCTTATGGACAATAAAAGACGAACAGTTTTCAGCCGAGAAATAATTCACGAGATACACGCGACCAAGGGACCAACAGGATCGATTCGCTGGCTTTATCGACGAGCAAATCGGCCAAACGGTTTGCAAAGTTCGAGGAAACAGCAAAACAGAGTCCGCGTTCTGAAAACTCGTAACTGGCTCGTTAAAACTGGGCTCGAAAGCGAAATCTCTAGAGCAAAGGGATGGAATTTCTTTCGGTCGAAGTTGCTACGTAAACGACACGCGAAACGGAGCGCTAAAGGGACAAAAGGGCTTGGAAATACGAGGATAAGAGGAGTGTAGTGCCTAACAGAGGAGGTCCAGAAATTCGAGTGAAAGAAAAAGGAAGAGGCCCGGGAGGGACGAAAGAAGGACAAAAAAGAGGTAGAAAGCGAAGAGGGAAAAGAGCTAGGAAAGAGGGAAGAGCACAATAGAAAGAGGAAAGAGAGGACCTCTTTAAAAACCGGGCACAAGTCCGCAGGACTCGCGCGCGAGTTGGAGAAGAGGAAGAGAAAGAGATCAGACAGAGAGAGAGAGAGAGAGAGAGAGAGAGGACGACTGGTCGTCGCGCGAAGGATGGAACAAGCAGAGAGCATCAGGAGGAGACAGAAAAATCAAGCAACAAAGAGTAACGCCAGCAGTGCTGAATATTGCATTCGCATTCGCCTGCTTGCGTCGTTTTCGTCGTCGCGTCGTCGTCGCCACGTATGAATGCTGCACAATCTCCTCTCTCTCTCTCTTTCTCTTTCTCTTTCGGTTCGTAAAGTCGGGTAGCCGAGAGTGTTCGCAGTCTTATTTGTGCAGCTACACAATATGCAAGCGTGCACGCGCGCCAGAGCAAATACCTATGCATTTTTATGGGAAGAGGAACGAGCAGATCGGCTTTCGGCGCTGTTACTCGCGTCAAGATTTCGTTGAAACCTTCGATACAGCTTCACGCGAAAACGATCGCGTGCACCTTTTCGTACACGATAGCCTGGCAATCGGGCGGCTTTATTTGATAAAGCAGGATTTGGAAGGATCTTACTTTCGAAAGCGTGTATTTAGATGGTGATTCCCGCGGTACGTAGCATCTAGCTTAGATTTCTCTTCTCTTGCTTTTTTTTTTTTTGTTCCTTTCCTTGAAGTGGTTTTGGTGATAACTCTGAGCGAGATTTTGAGAATTGATACGTTCTTCTCTGGCGATGACTCGTGGAGAGGGTAGTCTTTATTTCAAGCGTTCGAGTGGCAAGTGAAATTCTCAAATAACCGATCATCGGAAATAACCGGCATCGATATTCGACAACGTTTTTAACAACAATCGACAGACAGAGTAATTTTCGTTTCTCGACGGTGACTCGCTAAAGAATATAACACCAGTCTCGGATCGAGCGTAGTTTCAGTCGAGTATCAAAGATGGAATTCGAAAGACCGAGGCATTGCGTACCAATAATGATCGATAGAGGGAGGTCGAGAAATTTTCTGATGAGAAATTCTCTAGCGATCGCAACGAAGCAGTGTTCCTCGCGTGAACACTCTGTGTCATAACAAGTTTTCCGAGAGATCGCGCCCCGCGCGCGAACGATAGACGTGGAGAGGGAGTGGGGGAGGAGGAGGAGAGGATAAAGGGAAAGAGAGCTCTCGAAGAGACGAGAAAAGTGTCGGAAATTGAATGAAAAACGGGGTAGGGGGAGAGGAGAGGGGTTGGAAGCGTCACGGTAACCCTCATCGATGGAGTCTCTTCAGACGCAATTAGTTCAATCGCGCGTCTCCTCCTAGTTTCCATCGATTTTTCTCTTTGAGGTTCGGCGCCGGAGTCGGTAAAAAGTCGGCGAAAGGTCAATCGTCGGTCCTTGGGGGCTGTAATCTTCCTCTTGGGAGGGAAGAAGGCGTACACGCTGCGCTCAACCTTCGCCAGAGAAACGACATTTCACCTTTGCGTCGAGAAGCGCGATTCGAATTAAACGGGAGGAATAAGACACTCTGGTCGGAGATTCGAGCCGAGCCGAGCCAAGCCGAGAGCGGAATGGAGGCGAAGAAAAGAAAAAAAAAAAAAAAGAACGCGTAGAGGGTTCGAGGAGATGGGACGGCACCGAGAGGATCGCCGGAGAGGTAATTAATTGCACCGTCGGTATCAAGATAATAGTTACTAATTAACTCGACCGAGACCATCGTTGCCGATCGATTCGAGCTCTTGCTTTACTTCGCATTTGGAAAGGGAAGACGCGAAGTCGGGGTCGTGGTCGCTGAACCAGGAGGGGGGGGAGGGCTTTTGCACGTACCAGCATGACTATGGTAGATTATGCAACTGTGTGCATTATTCCTCAGACATTGCCAGATGACGAATATATACATATGTATGTACACGACGAAAATGGATAACTTAGCAAAATGAACAACAGGATTTTTTTAAATTGAAATTTCTCGAATTTAAATTCACTTTTTGAGATTAAATACCAGAGATGAATTTAATTGATACGAGTCTTTCCACGTTCCTCTGTCTAACTGAATCATTTGTTAATAATTTGATTGACGAAATAACAATGCTTTTATCACTTTTACTAGTTTGACAAGTGATTTCCTGTTCTTACATTTATCTAACAAAGCACGATATCTAAAAACAAATGGACTTCCATTTCTCTCTCTCTGATTTTCAGAACCTCGTGATTTTCAACTCGAGAATCCCGAGAATGAACGTAGGTATCGATTTGTAACTAGCGACTTCATTAGCTGGCTAATAAAATTAGTCGGATCCCCCTCCAAAAAAAGAAACCATTCGATTTGTAGAATACTTGCCTACCGATCGGACGGCCAATCATAATTAATTATCCCCAACGCCGGCAGCATCTGCTATCGGAAACACGAGCGCCAACGAAATAATTATCGTGGCCAATTAATCTGCGAGTTCCATCGGGAATTCCACGCGATAAAACGCACTCACGCGGTTCATCCGAGCTTCCTCGAAGCAGCTTCCCTCCCCGTCTCTCTACGAGGGCGTTGAAATTCCACCGGGAGGCATCGCCACTCTCGACGATACCTTTAAAATCGACGATAACAGCCACGAGGGGAGAGACTTTCTCTCTTTCTCTCTTTCTCCCAGCCTCTCTTTCAAGCGTGGCACTCCTTTAAAGCGTGGAATCGTCGGGAAACGACGGAGAACGACGGGGACTTACCTGAAACAGATAAAAAGGTATACGTTAGAGGGCGACGGTTTTTAATTGGGACGACGTCATTTATTGCGAGGGCAGCCGACGACAACGGCGACGACGAGGACGAGGACGAGGACGAGGACCGCTCCAGAGATTCCACGGTGGCTCTTTTGTGGCCCCGTTAAAAAAGGCCGAGAGAATCCTTTCAGAAAGGCCTCGCCGCGATAAATGACGGATGCCCCGATCTAGCACAATGCGGCAACCGCCACGAATTCAGACGGCACCGCGACACACCGGATCCGGACACTTTCTTCCCGCTTCCGACCGCCGCGTTTTGTTCCAACGACCGAGCGGTTTTGCTCCAGGTGGAGGATCTTTCCACGCGGAAATTGGACATCGCGATGATTAACCCCCTTTCGGAATAAAACCGGCAGATATTCTAAACGATTGATAACGTAGGGACCAAATATATTTCTTTCGATGATCGAGGCTTTTCGAGTAACAAAATGATGAAACATTTGGCAAAGTGATGGAGGAAATAATTGTTTTTTTTTTTTTAAATTTTTGATTCAACTGTTAATCAACAAGTGAGAATTTGTTAGGGATGATGTAAGGAATAATTAGTTTCGAATTAATTATTGACGCCTTGTGTAATAATTGAAGAATTTGTATACTTAATTTACTAATCTTTACTGCGTGATCAAATAATGAAGAAGACGGAACAAAAGACACGAAGAATAATTTTTGCATTTTCCATGCCAAACGCAAATACGTAGATATATTTTTTATTCCTTCTGGTCAATAAATTTTAATACATTCAGCACCGAATTTTTTGTGCAAAAAAAATTATAAATATTAAATAATTCAAAATATTAAAATTTTGCCCGCAAATATATTTATCGTTTAATTAATTGAGAACTTGTACAACTTATTTATATGCGTGTCAAAGTTAATAACATAGAAGAAATGAAATTTACGTTACTAACAATAGATAGCTTCGAGAGTATTTTTGAATCTATAAAAATGTTAAATTAATCAAAGTTTTGATGGGACTTATTTCCATGAATATGAAACAAATGCAAATTTGGTCGTCGGTCAGTTGTTGTCATGACCGTATAAAAATAATAACAAACGAGGAGAGCTCACATAATTTACTCTGCTAATTATTTCCTTTGAGAAAGATATTGTCGATTTTCGCTGAATAAATATCGAGAGAGTTGGTGAAAACACCAGAATCTTCTTATTAATAAAACAGGATCTCTAATCCGCTCGATCGATCTGATTCGCTTCGAACGTGATTGAAGCAATATTTTTTTTCGACGCGCAGGCTGTCGCGATACGGTTTTGAAGATAACCAGAAAAGAAAATATTGATCACATTTCACGAATGAAAAAGAACATAAGTGCGAAGGAATGATCGGCTCAACCACAAAAAATGATTGGGCGAGACGTGTGGCTTGAAGAGAGTAGTATGATTGTGCGGTTTTTCGAGTGGATCTGGTTTAATCGAATTAAAAAAAAAAAGGAAAAAGAAAAGAAGAAGAAGAGAAAGAATGGTGTCTTTCGAGCAGATAGCGTGTGTTCCTTGAAATTGCCACACAACAGGGCAAAGAGAGAATGATAAATCTTGGTTGCGCGAGCAACGAAAAAAGAAAACCAGGTTACTGTCGTTGATTCGAGCAAAACGATGAACACGTGCCTCACGTTTTCGTGAATGTTTTGCAAGCGATCCTGGAGAGACCGGTTCTATCAATCGCGCTGATCTACGGCAGTATCTCGACGATAGTTCTAAAATCGTGGCGTTGGTAATTGGAGCGTCGATGCGGGTAAAAAAAAAAAAGACGATTAAAGAATATGGGGCAGATCGATGAATTGTCCGATTTTAGTTCGAGAGGAATCGGTCGAAATTTTATTCCCGATATTATTGAAGAAAATTTTATTCGAACCGGGGCGTTTGAATTCACTCGGTTCAAAGGTGTACGAAGGTGGTGTTTCCAAAACAAATGGAATTATCTTTTAATCGAATTATAAGATGGAACTATGTATTGGGAAATATTGTTCGAGTATTACGTCGCTGATTAGATTTGATATATCGATCGTTTGGTTGCTGGTTATTGACAATAGAAAATAGAAAACTGTCGACAAAATGTAGCCATTTTTATAACACAAAAAATTAATTTTTTCAATTTATAAAATACTCAAAGATCTTTGTACGACAAACACAGTTTTTAACACCAATTAAGAGAATGAGCTAAATGTCTACAACCTAACTCCATTCAATTTAAAACTGCAATTCTTGTTCA